CAGAAGTCCCAAAGGACTTCTTCACCATCAAAGGATTACATTCAAAACTATACGTCGTTCCACAGCAGTAGCCAGTCACTTGGAGCAGGGAGTCTTCCCATCCTGCTCCCATTAATCCTACAAGCCAAAGTCCTAATTGGTAGGGTATTCCGAGCTGAACAAGCAGCAAGAAAGCTTGCCAGGCAATGCTCTCAATGGCAAGCTATGCGGTTTTAGCTGGTTAGACTCCAGCAATTATCCTAATGCACACTCTGGGGTCCCCAAGTCTTGGCTCTTGACATCTGCACCTAATACTTTCCAGAATTAGGTAAGCAGGATGCATCCCCCCTGGGAGAGAGTGCACATTCCATTCCAAAAATCTCTCTCTGGAATTTTCATGTGTAAGAGTGGGATGCATGGAAATCTCAGCTTTGTTTGGATACTCTGAAGCACGGTGATGGGTCTTCACATTTGTCAGATACCCGGCTGACACACCAAAAATGCCAGTGACAGTCTGTTTATAGTTTGATTCAAAAAAAAATCATATGACATGGTGTTAGTAGAAAGATTAAATGAAACAAACAACTCAGTTGGCCAAGACAACTGGCAGCAATATTTTGTAAGAGGTCAGACTTCCAAGTCGATGGTTATCTACTAAAGGTAGAGTAGTTTATCTTGAAGGAGGAATCGTCTAACTATTACCACCTACGCCTTGGGATGTCCTCCAGAAGTGAAAGGCCTTATACAAATGAAATTTGTTGTTGTATTCTTCCATGTTCTAAATTTGTCACATGATTTTTAAAATAAAACTTACAGGCTAATCCCAATGACTAAATAAGCTAATGCACCACCCGATTGGAATTAGGCATGAATACCAGAAAGATCACATGTAGATCCCTCTTCTGTGATGTTCAATGATCTCAGTCAGAATGGCATTAGCAGCACATTTGGCCTCAAAACCCAGGACTATGGAGGGGAAATTAGCATGGGCTCTCACTCATGTTAGCCAGCCAGTGGCACTTAATTCTAAAGTGCATGTATGAGTGTTAATGTATATACGTGCATAAATTTGTTTCATACGGTGTTGTAATGTCGTGGTTCATGTCCATAAAATGAGTCGTATAAAAATGTCTGTCAGTCATTGATTCTGGGTTGTCTGAGCTCTGCTGTCACTCTCTACGTGCTGTGCGTGTGCAGGGAGCTGGCCCCTCAGTGCTGGAAGCTGGAAATGTACCACTCTTTGTGCATATGACGGGGAGAGGTGCACGGTACATCCATGCTATAAATGGACCTGCCCTATACGGAAGTATAACAGGGCTAACATGCACCAGGAGGTATTGGACATGTGTTGGATCCGACCATCGTTACCCTCCTGCCCAGAGGAATAACATTGTTGCAATTACCAGCGAGCGTTTTTGATCCTTAGTGTAATTGACTAGGCAATAATCAGAATCAGTTAATTCAATGTGAGGCCAACTCATTATCGTACAAGATATTGAATTGACATTTAAACAGGACTTAAAACCATTTCTAAGCTAATGTGTCTGGGTGTTCAATCAATCATTTCAAAAACAGGAAGGTGGTTTAGTTGTTAAAATAATTATCTGGCGCAAGGCTACACATTTTATTAAACATAATGCTGAATATTTAAATTACACACTAACTGGGTTTACACACTGACCCAATTCCTAAAGTGTAAGTTAATAGGCCGTTGCAGCATAATTGAAACAATTGACAGTTTTGACTCACTGCCAATCATGGTTCCAATACATCAATCGCTGGAATATTGACATATGAATTTTTAAACCAATTTTTGCTGAAATCAAAATCCACCCACTTCCACAATCTGACCTACACTGACTGTGAAAGTGACCACAGGCAATAGAACTTATAAGGGCATTTATGCTTACATCCCAGCAGAAAAATTAATAGTTCCCCTAGGAAAGTTGCTTCAGTGAATTCATGAGAACAGTGAGGGCTCAGCTCTCGCACTACAATATCTGTGGGATCTGTTCAAAAAGGGTCTCCCTCTGTAAGGGTGAAATCAGCTGCCATTTCAAAAAGTAACACATACCGACTGACTCACTATTGTTACTCGGTAAAAACTGGATTATTCCTCCAGAAACGTATGGTCATTGTTTCATGGTTGTTAGTCTTGTCATTTGGATCATCATCAACAGGATGTCCCAGTGCCTTGGGACGTCCTCCCGATGTGAAAGGCGCTTTCCAAATGTAATTATGTTGCTGTTGTCCTGTCGGTGTCCACCACACAACCAATTCCTGTAAAATTAGAATATCAGATGCCCTACATATTTCACACGGTTAAAACACAGATAAATAGTGGGAATGATTCCAAACAGCAATATCATCCCAGTATTCAGATGTTATCTTCGACAGCCCCATCTCCTCCCATCCCTCTACACTGTATCCAGCACTGTTTTTGTTCTCTGGGTTTCTTGACAACAACAGTGTTTAGTGAGATTTTCCCCTGGCAATTGGTCCCTTTTCCATTATTTGCTATTTAATTTCAACACGTTTGGGATTTTCCAGGTCTATTTGGCTCAGTTCGACAGAGGGCATTGTCTTTACTCACTGAGCTACTTGCAGATCATTTAAGTTATAGAATACTGTATTAGCTTTGATGAAACACTAAGTTACTGCACTCACAAGAGACTCCATAAATTTGCTCCTGTCCACAGAGCTCAAGAATCATGAGCCTTCAACAGATTCAATACGGAAAGTGCTGCTATTAATGGAATATCCTCTGCATTTTGGGAATTTACTTTTCAGATACAACTCCTAAACTTACAGATGGTGTGGTGTATAAAGCCCTGTGAGCACGGAGTCATAAAGATCAGAAACATTTAAAATCTTGGTCTGTGTTGAGTTAGTGAGCCTAAGCCACAGTAGCAGTTAGTGTTCTACAATTCAATTTACATAGCGCCTTTCACATCAGCAAGACCTCTCAAAGTGCTTCACGTTGCTTGGTGGGCACCCAAGCTAGGGGTGGGAGCTGAAGAGGGTAGAGAGGAGCACGATTACCAAAGGGCTCATTACCTTGAGGTGGACTTTGAACGTGAAGAGGGAGGGAGGGAGAGAGCGAGTTGGAGGGACTCATAGATGGGCTTCCAGGGAATAATCGGCCTGAAATAGCGACACTTTAGGGAGCTGAAAAAATCAGGTGGGTTGCTGCTCTTGATCGCTATCCAGAACTCGTGGACAACTGGTGCCTTTGGGCATTGCAATATGTCCCAGGAGAAGGAAATGTAAGGCCAAACAGCTTCAGAAGAGGAGAGGAGAAATTGGAACAGAAAATTTGGTGAACAGGAAATTTAAATTGCTAATATTTCCAGTGCAGGTGAATGCCCTATTATACATAAGAAAATATTAATTGAACGAAATGAGGTGTGTTGGCAGCGCACTAGGAAAGAAATGGAAAAATCCAATTCATTTTGCGTGTGAAGTGTGAAGGGAGTCCCGTGGAGCTCACTGGGCATTCAGGTTACTCTGCTGAATTCCAGGTGCAACTTTGTTGTGTAATTTTTCCTGGACCCACACACACACACACACACACACAATCACGCACACACACCGCAATGGGAGAATTCGCCCTGTAACGTACCAACTTCACTTATCTAAGTTAAACAAACCTCACCACCCCGAGAAAATAAATGAATTACAGTGGCAAAGGTGCCCGGTTGGCCATGTGATCCATGAGGGTAATGCAACATATGTGCTGAGGTATAAGGCAGATTATTTACATACTGGAACCACCCATCAGTTCCCCCTCCCCCACAGAGACACAGAAAATAACTACCTTACAATAATAACCAGAGCAGAGGTGGATGCTGGTGGTGGGAAGAGAACAAGACAACGTTAAACGCTAAAAATGCCCCTTGGTTCTTGGTTATAATAATAATAATAATAATAATTGGTTAGGATGATCTCAATGAGCTATGCCTTTTGTGTCCATTTTGGATACATTGTTTGACAACAACGTGTCTGTTTTTAAAATACTCTTTCCAGAGACACTTGTGACAGCCCAGGGAGCAGTCTGGCCATCCCACCACACCGTCAGGGGAGGGAGAGAAAGTATTGGGAGAGAGATATTGACAGATCTGGAGATTGCTTTTGGCTCAGCTTCTGACCTCTTTTGTGTTCATTTAGTTTCCTCTCTTTCTCTCTCTTTCTTTCTCTCTCTCTCTCCCTCCCTCTGTTTGGCCATCTCACCAGCAGGTCCAGCCCTTTTATTTTGTTTGGTGGTGGTGGGGGTGGGGGGGGGGGGGGGGTTGGTCGTTTTTTTTCATACATCAATGCAAATAATAGGGATCCCTTTCAACAAAAAAAAAGCTGTTGGCGATCAGTTTGGATCAGAGGAACAGAAGCAAACAACAAAAAAAAAGGGGGGGAACAGGGGAGCGATCCGTCTATTTCGGATCCTTTCTGTGGCAATTCGCGATCGCTCAAAAAGATGATGAACCCCAACATTCCCGGACACCCCACAAGTCTGGGAACCTCTCTGCCCTTTGCAATCCCACAGCCCGATCTGATCTCCTCGTTCCCACTGAAACTTGATCCAGGAAAAGAAACAAAATGAACGATAAGCCCTGGAGCCAGGAACTGGGTGCAAGAGGAGCAGCAGCAGCGGGAGGAGGAGGGGGAGAGGGGAGAGGAGGAGGAGGGACAGGAAAGAGGGAGAAACATCTTTGGGATTTTTAAACTTTTTAAGCGATGGTTTTTGCTCCTGAACTCGGGATCACACTTTTGCAAAAACCCGGGAAGTCTGTTCATCATTCACTCCGCGGGTCTCCGCTCACCCAAAGGGATGGGAAGCGGATCGCGCTCTTCCCTGAGCTCAGACCGGAACACAAAGAGAGCTTCGTCCCGGGATGTGCTCCGGGAGTTGATCCTGAAACAGGGAGAGAGGGAGGGAGAGACCCGGGGGGGGGGGGGGGGGGGGGATCCCAACCTCACAGCCCGGGATCGGCTCCCGAATCCAATCAGTTCCTCCAACAACTTACCGCAGTCTCTCACTTCATATGTTCCCCCAAAACCAACTGAGCTTTTGTTTGTGCGGAGGGCGAGAAGTGCAAATGCAGCCGCACTCACCCCGCGGGGTCCTCCCGCTCCCGCTGCTCCCGCTGCTGCTCCCGCCGCTGCTGCTCCGGGAGAGGGTGGGGGTGGGGGGGGGTCGGGGCTGAGCAGAGCGGACACACAGCCTCAGATGTTCAGGAGCTCGGGCTCCAGGTCGCTGTGTCCACCTCCGGGGGCTCTGATGCTCTGAGTCCGTCTGTCAGTCCGTCCGCGGCTCAGCTCCACAGCAGCGCTGTGTCTGTGTGTGAAACAGCGCCTCCCGTCACACGGCGAACAGCAGCGGCTCTGAGCACAGGCACAGGAGCGCCTCCCAGCGCCCACAGTCTGCTTCACACTCCTCCCCCGCCAGCGGGCACAGCAATAGCAATAGCAATAACAATAACCCCTGCATTTGATAGAGCGTCTTATCACATCTTCGAGACAACAACAACAACAGCTCGCACTTACATAGCGCCCTCCACGCAAGGTGACGTCTCAGAGCGCTTAACAGTGGCGGAGGAGCCCGACTCCGAGCCGAGGGGAGGGGGCCGTAAGCACGATTGAAGAGGAAGGTTTTCAGGGACTTGAAAGAGGGGAGAGAGGGGGCCAAGGCGGAGGGATGGAGGGAGTGTTACAGAGCTTCGGGGCATAGTGGCTGAATGGTGGGGCAGAGGGTGCGAGGGACGAGCAGGAGGCCGGTGCCAGTCGTATTGGAGAATGAGGAGGTTGGAGAGATAGGGATGTGCCAAGGAGTGAAGAGATGTCCCAAAGCGCTTCACACAATATACTGTAAAGTGGATTGACTGTGTATTTTGTGGGTGAAACGCGGCAGCTGGTTGCACACAGCAATATCCCACAAACAGTCGTGGATTGAGTGACCACATTTTTTTTTAAGGATTATTACCCTATCAACCTCAGCTCTTCATTTCCCTGTAAGTGTGACTTTTCAGGCGCATTTCACACTTAACCGATTAACCGTTTTTTTTAAATAAAACTTTCAATTTCTCTCAGGTTGATACTTGTGTTAAAGTGTTAACATCTGCAACAATAACCCTAAAAATAATAATCTGTGTGTTTGATATAACATTGAGAACATCTCAAAAGGTTTCATAAAGTTAGGTAAAGTAACACTAAGTGAGTACAGTTGCAATTTGCAATCAGCAATGTCCCACAAACAGCCATGAAGTAAATGACTAATTTATCTGGAGGATTGTTGTCCAGGACACAGGGAAACACCTCCCTTCTCTTTTTGAATATTGCCACGGGTTCTTTAATGTTCACTTAAACTGGCAGATGAGACCTTGATTTAACATCTCCTCCAAAGGACAATGCTGCACTCCCCCACCACTGTGCTGCAGTTTTAGCCCAAACCATTAACTCAATAAGTCTCAAACTGGATCTTCAACCCACAATCTTCTGACCCGGAGGTAAGAATGCTACCAGCTGAGCCTGGCTGACACCCTAAACTTGTACCTTTATACAGCGCCTTTCATGCAGGATAACATGTCAAAGTGCTTCAAGTGGATGGTGTGGAGCACCTAAGCAGAGTGGGGAAAGGGAAAGTGACAAGAGCATGGTGCAGGTTTTTATACTTCACACACGGCTTTAAAGCAGGGAGAGGTTGCAAGGCACCGGTGTTGGGGATGTGGAGCAGATAGAGATCACAGAGGCAGAGTTACAGATAGTTATGGAGGGATTTGAAAGTGAGGATGAGTAGCTTGCAGTTGATCTTTTGGGGGACAGGGAGCTAGTGTCATCTGGCCAGGGTGGGAATGATGAGCATGTGGAACTTTGTGAGGAAGTGGATTGTATAGAAATGCACTAGCAGGCAGCACTTTTCATCATACAGCAGGATGTAAAGTAATGGGGAGTAGGTGGGGGGGAGAAAAACTAAATCACAGAATTCAGGGGAAAGGAATAGATTGTAATAAAAAATGGCTAAAAAATCTGGATTCATCCCTTTAGGAGGAGGGAGGTGAAACAATGCTTCAATTATTTTTCCTTCACACTTTCATGCCAGAGATCTTAACAATATTCACAAGCAGATACTGAACTAGTAGGAAATGTCAGCACATGTATAATAAGCAGAATTGCAAAGCTGGATCTTTAACCTTCATAAAGCATCATGGTCCAGTAGAAATGTGTTGAAGCATATTAGAAAAAAGAACCTGAACTAGAAGTAGGCTGAATGATGCTGGGAATACTGCAAATTTAATTGGACTCGAGGGTAGCATCAGAAGTCTGCAAATAGCATATCCAATTTCAAAAAATGGTTACAAGAAAAATGTTGAGAATTGTAAAGTTGCAAGCTTTCTTCCATGTTACTACCTCACAAGTTGAGTCTTTTTTTTGGCATTGATCCATGAGGTGACCACAGGTTGATGGGAATAGACTTTTGCATTTCTTGACCAGTCAAGATTAACGTCATACATTACGTAGAAATAAATATAACCTACAGCACTATAACCTACAACAGGTAATTCGGTTCAAATAGTCCTTGCAGGTTTTTATACTTCATATAAACAACACCCATCTTAATCCCCCTTCCCAGCCTCCCCCTTAGCATTCTGTTTACTCCTCCCTCATGTTTGTGTCAAGTTTCCCCTTAAATGCATTAATGCTTTCTGTTTCAACACTGCTCTTGGCAGCGAATTAGTTGTACATTCTAACCATCCTCTGTGTAAAGAAGTTCTTATGTATAAGGATGACGTTATTGAGGCAAAATATGCAATCTCTAACACACAGCAATGAAATGATGACAAATGTGATCTTTATTGGCTTTACGTATATAAATTATATATTCTTTTCCAAACTGATCCAGTTTTAAAAAAGGTTTTGAAATTCCAGCCCACCTGCCAACATTAGCTGGTCTCTGAAATGATATCACATTTAGTAGAATTTATGTTTCTCAAAGCACTCTTTTCTCTAACAAGGTGTAGAAGCAAACAGTCATCATTTTACTTCAGTAACCTAACACAACACTAACTTAAATTATTAAGTTTCAAAATCCACTTGTAAGAGGCCATTAATAGACCATGCTGTTTTTACAGAGGCCTCTTCAACTGGATAGATATTCAACAACAACAAAATTTCATTTGTACAGCGTCTTTCACATTGGGAGGACGTCCCAAGACACTGAAAAATCAGTGTTTCGGACCCGAGCTGTGGGTTGGGGAGGGTGGAGGGCAGGGGGAAAGGAGGGTGATCGAATGCACGGTGTTGAATGTAAGTTCTTGGTATCAGGATGTGACTGGAGTAGAATTAAGAGACAATTAATGGTTTGACCATACATCATAAGCATCTGTGTAGAAATTTTCCACTACAGAACAATATTGGAAGGAACAACAGCAGAACAAGTCAATACCAGAGCACATGCATCGAGGATTTCACTGCTGTCTAGTTATAAAGGTGAGTGGATTGAATTGGCTGTGACATGGCAGTCTGATTAGAAAATTATCCAATTGAGATGGAATGAATATCATTCAATGAATATCAGACTGGGTAAATAAGTCTAGATTCACCTTTTTGCCTGGGGCTAAAATGTAAAGGTACCAACAAAATTCCAGCACATGAACACCACATTGCGGTATCATCCTCATAGTAAGCCTGAACTGTGAGCATCATCAGGATTTGATTTGAATGAGGTGAGGGTGAAAAGAGAAAGGTAACATAGCTGAGCCTAGTCTCGTCTTCACCTGACATCCACCCACAGTACACTTGCAAGGGAGGGGTGGGGTTGACAGGTAGAATTCAGGAGTAGTAATCCTAATCAAGACATTAAAACCAACTGGATTGTGCCCCATCAGCATTTTAAAAAAAAGGTTGTTAGGAATTTTTAATTTTTATTATTAGTTGGTTTATTCAACTATAGTCAAGAAATTCTTTGATTTATGCAAGTGAAAATACACTTGAAATTGCATCTCACAACCACAAGTAGTCTTGTGATAGTCAAGGTTTTTGCTTAAATCAAGAGGTTTGTTTGCCACCACACTGGAAGAAATCCATTTCTTTTCATGAAGTGCAGCAAAACCTTTTAACATCCACCTGAATAGACAGATGAATGAGTTTATTATTTCATCTTAAAGATGGCACACTGACAATGCAGCGTTCTCCTGTACCATACGAAATTGTACTGGAGTGTTAGCCTAGGCCCCTGACTATAATATCAAATCTACTACGGCTTCAACCCACAATGACGACAAACAGTTTTGGTTTAATGTTATGCTTTTCAGGTCAAAAAGTCCAAGCATTGCAAAAAAAATGTTCTGTAAGTGAATATGATAACTAATTTGTGTCAGCAATATATTACAAACAATAAGATGAGGAGCCAATTGTTTTTAATCTGGGGTGAATTTGGATGAGGAGGGAATATAAATCAAGATAATGGGAAAACTTCACAATATGAAACAACACATTAAACCTACATTAATGTCTTAATCAAAAACGATCTGAAATAAATACAATACAAAATTACATTTGTATAGCGCCTTTCATGTCGGGATGACGTCTCAAGACGTTGGACAGTCAGGGATTTGAACCCGAGCTGTGGGTTGGGATCGGGGAGGGTGGAGGTCAGGGAGGGTAGGAGGGAGGCTGGAGGTTCAGTCGAAGAGGAGGGTTTTGAGACACGCCTTGAAGGAGGCAAGGGAGGGAGCTAGGTGAAGGGAATGTGGGATGAAGTTCCATAGACTGGGGGCAGAAAGGCTGAAAGCCCGACCGCCGATGGTGGGACAGGGCGGGCTGGGAACTCGGAGCAGGCTACAGCCTGCTGAGCGGAGGGAGTGGACAGGTTGATATGGGGTCGGGGGTTTCAGAGATAGGAATACAGAATGTTATTTAGGCAAATCCAGCTCCCAGTCCAATAGCAGCAAGTGCTGCAAACTGAGCACAAGCAAGCATAAAATACAGATATTTCATATTTTTTTCCAGCAATGCATGAATTAAAACTAGATACAATAATGTATACTAAAGTCTCTAGTTTGTCATACTGTAAATCGAGCCCTTCTCAATAACATACATCCCTAAAGGTGATCATCTCCAAACTATCTGAAGAATGCAACAAATTTTGTCTCTCCCCTGACTAAATACACCCTATAGATTATCCTGAACCTAAATTACC